ATAATTTCTCCATGTTTAATCATAAATGTAATATTGTCAACTTCAGGCACTAACAACATTAATTTATGATAACTTTCCTCTTTTGAAAGGATGAATATAGCTTCATCCAAATCACATTTTCTTTCATGACTCAAAATCTATTGTCTAACTTGATCAAAAATAGAATTAAGTACAACCAAAAATTTAAACACTCTTCTTCATTCTTTAAAATGTCATAGGACAACAATTTATGTAGATTTTTCTATATCAATGCTGAGATAATAATCAATCTCCTACCATAAATTTTTCAATTCTCTTGTATATTTTATCATTGATTTATTTCCTTGAATTGTAGATATGAATTTTGTTTCAAGTTTATATAAATGTGCCTCATTATTTCTTTGTGAGAATTTCATGTGAACTCTTTCCCACATATCTTTGACTGTAGATAGAAAGAAAAAATCTCAGCTAATTTGGGGAATTGTTGTTCCCCAAAGTGAGGTTTTGAATAATGCATCTTCTTCTCTCCATCTACAAAATTCTCAAGACAATGGATCCGATTTCCCTTCAATAAATGATGTAACATCCCTCTTCCAGTCAATACCTCTCAAACATTATGACCATTAAATCAAATTGTATCCAATCAATTTAAAATCTATAGGCATTATAGGAAGTTTTATGAGTAATCTTGGACCACTTGGACCAAGATTAACTTCCCTTGTGGAGGTTAGATCCCCCACAAATGATGAAGAATTGTCTCCCATGTTCTCCATTTAAAGAGAATGTCCAAATTCACGAAAATATCAAATTTGTGAACAAATCGCAATAAAGACAAGAAAAAATGGTGCAAGAATTGTAACAAACCAATAGATCATTGTGGAAGTAAAGAAATGGAGCGATCACACCTAAATTCACTTTGAAATAAATACAACTAAGAAGAAGATCCCTTGCCATAAGTGTACAGTGCATGTAACTCTAGTAAACAATGGAGAAAATGTTGACAAAGCAACATCAATTGTGACATTGCTGAAAAAATAAAGTTTTAGACCCTAGAATGGCTATGATACCATGTAGTTGAGATAACACAGTTTGGAACTCTGATAGGCACCCAACACTCGTGGAAGAAGAACTTTAACTTTATTGATCAAAAACTATTCACAAGGAGAATGGGATCCAATATTAATACCAGATCTCTAGAAGGTTCTAGACATACTAATGTAACACAAAATGAAAAGTACAGGAGGACATATATGTAAACATGTAAGGTATACATGTTATGAAATACATCTTGACAACACTAACATTATGCTTTCCCATATGATTAGTTGATTAAGTGAATAGAGTCTAATCTAACATAAGTGATTTTAAAGGGCAACATTGAGTGAAACCAGTAGTTCTGATGGATAATGTTTAAGAGTAGAAAAGGTTCTTATGATGTTTTTATGGCCTTGGAGAAAGAGAAATAGCACATAAACATATGTTTAAAGTATAGATGGTCTAGAGAGAGAGAGAGAGCACGTGTCACTTTCAAGTATAGTTCTTAAACCCTAAGGCTTTCCAAAGGGATCTTAAACCTTCATAATGGGTAGTATCCATTATTTTGGAATCTTTTCTCATGTCAACATGTTGCCCACCATGGATGACATTTCCTCGATAATCTAGTCGATCATCTTACTTTGAATGAGCCACACAACTAGATATCCAAGGTCAACGACTGCATAACTCTACCTTTCATTAATTAATCCCTCTTGGTATGATTAATGCATAGGACTTGGCATCATGAAAACCCCAAGACTTATATAGATTAGTCTCCAGCATCATGAACAGCCTTGGCCACAAGGTTAAAGAACATCTTACGCCTATAAAGACTATGCCAAGAGCTGCTGAGAAGAGGAGGGGAGGGGATTAGGGTCTTCAGTCTGACAAGATAGATAACTTGTTCATTCTCATTTCAGTCCCAGAAAGACTCAATCCTATATTAATTTTTTTCTTAAAACTTAAGGTTTGGCAAGGTTTATTCTAGGTGAGGGGAAATTCACAGTTCACCAAAAATCTAAGATTATAATTTGACCTTCGAAAATATATAGTCATTAACATCTCCTTCATTTAATGATCTTGTAGTCCTATCTCATGATTCACTTCTCATTGCCCTATGCAAACCTATAAAGGAGTATACAAAAACACCCTTGTACCAGCTGCTAATTTTTTGTCTTATCACAGACTTTCCTCACCATATCAGTCATTTCTTATATCCTTAGACACCACTATCATTCCAAAAAATCTCTTAGAGGCTCTATCTAATCCTAAGTGGAACCAAGCCATGATGATGAGATGAGAGCTCTTGCAAAAAATCAAACATGGGATCTAATAGAATTACCATGAAATAAGAAGAATGTTGGTTGCAAATGGGTGTACATAGTGAAATATAAATCGGATGGTTCAATTGAGAGGTATAAAGCCTAATTGATGGCTAAAGCTTATACATAAGTATATGGGATAGATTATCAAAAAACTTTTGCACCAATGGTCAAAATGAATATAGTTTGGTTTTTGACTATCTTTAGCAACAATTTTCAATTGGAATATTTAACAATTTGATGTTAAAAATACATTCTTACATGGTGATTTGGTTGAAGCCTACATGACTCTTCCACTAGGATATGAGGGTAATCATTCATCTAATCTTGTTTCTAAGTTAAAGAAATCCTTTTATGGCCTCAAATAGTCTCCACATGCATGGTTTGAAAGGTTTACAGTAGCCATAAAGAAACTGAATTACAACCAAAGTAATGCTGATCACACATTATTTTTTAAACACTCTTCTTCAATTGAAGTGACACATTCTTCTAAAGGCATTTTTATTTCTCAACGGAAGTACGTAACAAATCTATTAATTGAAACAAAAAAATCTGGATGTAAATCAGCTAATACACCTATTCATCCAAACTATAAATTGTGTATGATAGATGAAGAAATTTATATTGACCATGATATCTCATATGCAATGAGTATATTGAGCCAATTTATGCATCAACCTAAAGAGTGTCATTTACATGCTACCTACCAAGTGCTACATTATTTGAAAGGCACACTAGCAAAAAGGGTTCTTTTTTAACGAAGTGGAAAGGTAGAGGTTGTGATGTTTATAGATGCTGATTATGTAGGCTCAACAATTGAACGAAAGTCAACCTCCAATCATCTTACTTTTGTTGGTGACAATCTTGTCACTTCAAAAAATAAAAAACATAATATACTTGCTGAATCAAGTGATGAGGCTGAGCTTAGGACACTTGCTTAAGGAATATGTGAGTTACTTTGGGTCAAGAACTTACTTGATGAGATACAAATTTCTTTATTCAGTCCTATGAAGATTTATTGTGATAATAAGTCAACAATCAATCTAATACACAACCCAATACAACATGACCATACCAAACATGTGGAGATTGATCACTATTTCATAAAAAAGAAACTTGAGGCCAATCTAATTTGTATATCATACATTTCAACAAGTAATTAATTGGCAATCATACTTACTAAAGGCATGTTTACATATTTGCAAAAAATTATTCCCAAGTTGAGAATAGATGATATCCATTCACCAACTTGAGGGGGGTTGTTGTCGAGACATACTTAATAACATATATACTTTACACGTTTACATATGTCCTCATGTACCTTTCATTTTGTGTTATATTAAGATGTCTTAAACCTTCTAGAGATCTGATATAAATACTAGGCCCTACTCTCCTTATAAATCATTTTTGATCAAGAAAGTTAAAGTTCTTCTTCCACGAGTGTTGGGCACCTATCAAAGCTCTAAACTATGTGTCATCTTAACTATGGTGTGGTGATGACAGATTAGGACAAACAAAATCTGCATTATCTCTCTCTCTCTCTCCCCCCTAACTCCCTTAACCTGGCTGAGCCAATGGCAACTATCCACCATTACTACAAATTCACATGTATGTGGTGGTTATCATAAAAGTTGTTGACTTTGACTTTGACATTGGAGGTGCTTCCCCTTCCAAGTAGGAGATCAAAGTAGAGAAGGCCTTTGTGGGAGCAGATGATGCCAGATGCCCTGAGCAAACTTTAAAACAACTTATGTTTGATTAAGGAATGTGGGAGAAGAGCAATTCTAAAGGGTAGAGCAAGCAATCCTGATAGCAAATAACTTGGATGATCACTGTATTACATGTGATTCATACATATTATTCTTAAAGAGACTCCATTTACATATTCTATTTGGAAGACAAAACAAAAAAATAAAAATAAGTCATTTCTTATTTATGGAACTAAAAAAATATGTCTTTGATGTTCTAGGAAATAAATATTTCTTTACACAAGCTCGAGAATGGATGATTTCACAGGGGCACATAATCACTGATGATCCTCAGCTATCTACAAAATGTCATTATTGGACTGAAATGTTCATTATTCAAGATATTTAAATCCTTCCATAGAAAAACAACCTCTAAGATGGAAAGTTTACACCTACAAGATCAAGAGCAAGACCGACGAAGAAATATCAGGCAATTTACCAACACCTGCTATTCGTTCAGGCTTTTGGTTTGTAGTCCACTCTTATCAGTAGCCATGATCGGGCTACAGCACTGACTATGTAGACGAATAAGTTGTTGGAAAGACGAGATGTATGGACTGCTTTCTAGCAGGATGGGCCAAGCATTTCAATCTTTTTTCCCCTTCTTTCCCTGGGGTCTTCTTATCTCCTAGCACACCGGGTGAAAAAAAAGTGATGACCCACCAAATTATAGATAAATAAATGAAATGGTGAGCAACAAGATGACACACTTGGCTGGCCTACTTGGTCTTTTGGATGACCGCCAGCCAGATCCTAGATATCATATATGTCGAAAAAATAAACAGCCATGGCCACAAGGCTAAAAGAGCACCTTATCCCTATAAAGACTATGCCAAGAGCTGCTGAGAATAAGAGGGGAAGGGATTAGGGTCTTAAGTCTGACAAGATAGATATAAATACAGCCAGAGAAAAACACCTAAAATGCAGAGAACGCCTTCTTGCCCCCAGCACCTGATCCTGCTGGGATCACCTTCAAAACGTTGAACCTAACCGTCTTTGACAATGGCCTGTGTCGAGAAAAAAATAAATCAAATCAGCTGCACATAATTAGATTATTATTAGACCTAAATAAGAGCTTAAGCCGTGCAAACCCATCATCCAACACGGACCATTATATGAAGAATGAATCGATCGATCAGATTTTTGGGCTATCTAGTTGCATGGAGCAGTGAATTCATCTGATTCGGTGCTTTTCCATCCAAAGAAAAATAACACGGGTATTTTCCATTCTAGGAAAGCAGCTCACAACCATCATCCACGGAAATAGGCGAGATATCTCATGGAGAGTTCTATATTATATATGACTGGGAATGGTCAGTAATGGGGACAAGATTACCTGCACTGCCCAATAGTGACATGGTCTCCCTCCTTCACACGGAAACAAGGAGAAACATGTGCCGGGATGTTGGAGTGTCGTTTCTCGTACCTGAGACGACGAGTGGCAGAGAGAGCAGCTGTGTGAGAACTATTCAGGTTATGGTGAGATGAGGGAAAGAGAGTAAGTGTGCACTCCACATACTACTAGTACCTTTGGTATTTCCTGATGTAGTGAAGGTAGTCTTTTCTAACAATGATAGTTCGGTTCATCTTAGCACTGTGGCATATCCCACTCAGGATACGGCCCCTGATAGAAACATTACCAGTAAATGGGCACTTCTTGTCAATGTACGTTCCTGGATTTTTAAAAAAATAAAAAACAACAACACCCGTTGAGGTCCGCTAATCAAACCACCCATACAAAATCAGATCACGAATAGTAGATTTTTCATTAAATAAGATATAGGACACTGCATGGGAGAATAGAAGACATTTGAAATGGTATATTACCTCGCCCATCCTAAGAATTCAACACAGAAACATTAGTACATCAACAAGTCCGGGACATGACTTCCCTAGTTTCAGCCAAACGCGAAATAAAAAATATTTCTGTGGTATTATATTCAACTACAGACGGAACCAATAAAGGGAAGATTCTAGAAGAACAACAGACCACACAACAATGCCAGTGAAATGGACTTTGCACAGAAGATCAAATTTGTAATCATCACTCGAGGATAAGAAATATGATGGATATACATGAAAAGAGTAAAAGAATGATACCGATCACTTCACTCACACTTGCAGTGGAATATTGTACAAGACGTGAAAAACTACGTGGCCCAAAGTCTATTACTACTATGAACAAGAAAAATGCACTCACGAGACATCATTTCTTCATAAAATTATCTATGAGCATCCAATTCCTATGCTATATGAATCCTATGAATTATACCACACGATTTAATGCCTATCACAGTAGGGCCTTGCCTCCAATACAGTCAAGATAGAATATTCCTTTAATTTATAAAATACCTGAGCCTACCACGTTAAAAAAAGAGAAAAATAAAATTTTCATGAGACGGGAAAATCATATGAACCTTCGATTGCCTCCTTTGGAACCTTGAAGCCGAGACCAATGCTCTTCCAGAAACGGTTGCCACCCTTGCCGGGCCTCTTCCCCTTCCCAGACTTCTTTGAGCTGCGACCACATTGTCGGCAAAAGAATCATACAACCTTGCTACTCAGAAATAATAGCACAAAAAAGAGGTCGCAAAATAATCGACAGACTAAAAAATGTAAATCTCAGTCCATCATACCAGAGGAATACTTTTGGTTGTTTGAGAAAAGCCTTCTCAGTCTGCAAAAACAGGATTTACTAAAACATTAAAAAAGACAAAGGGCAAGCGAAAAAATAAGTCCACTAATGGCGAGGTGCGAACAAGCGAAAAAAAGCCTCCTCTCGTCCCTCAGTCCGCCTGTCCCTCCTTCCTTCCCTAGTATTGCGATCAGACAGGAGCTAACACGAACGAGATTTGGCTTACAGTCTATCCACATCTCGGCTGATATCATACAACTCTCAAATCCAGAGAGAAAATGAATACGAAGATCGAAGAGCATGACAACGAAAGTCGAAGGAATCATTGTAATGGTGACAGCACGATGAGTAAATGATCTTAGTGAGGAAACAAGGAATGCCCTCCGACCTGCTCCGCCATGCCGGGCTCTGGGAAGCGCCGCTGCGTGCGTGAAGAGGAGCGGCGCCGCTGCGAGAGAGCGGGGAAGGTAGAAAACCCTGGATATTTATTCGACGTGAGTTTATTCCATTCGCTTCCATGGTAACCCAATAAGGACGGCCCATTACGGATAGTCCAATAAGCACTAGCAACTTAGTAGGGCCGGGCCCCCTTCGTGGGGCTCAATTACTCTCACCTACGTATGGGCCCGGCCCGCGAATTACCACAGCGTATGGGCTTGACCCCATTCGCCACTGCAATGGACACCAAGAAATCAAACGGGCCAACCAAATCCCACTCTGACGAGGCCCACCAAATCTGTTCCCATTGACTTTTCTTAGCCGTCGCTGGGGTCAACCGCTAAGTAGAAGACTGTCACTCGCCAGTGCGCGAGTTACCATGAATGATCTTCCTGAGGAGATGCGCCGGCGGAGGAGCAGGCGAAGATTTTGGCATGATTTGTTTGATACAGAAATCATCAAAGTTCTCCAGGAAGTCTGCGGGGGGAAGGTCAAACATGCCCCGTCAAACAAGGAAGAGGCGCCGCCAATGCCAATCACGAAGCTCCTCCCTCCGCCGCCGGGTCTTGGCTTGAGCTCTTCTTGGCAGCCCTCCTGGCGGCTCGGTACTCCTCGAACCCGGCCTCGATCCTCGCCTCCTCTTCGGGGGAGAAGAAGAAGGCCTCCGCCTGCCCGAGTTCCTGGTACAGCTTCTCGATCTTGGCCTTCCACAGCAGACCCATCTCCGTGTCCATCCGCTGGTAGGGAGTCTTCAGCAGGTACTCGTCGATGCCGCCCGCCTTGTCGATGCACCGCAGGGCGTGCGTCGTCACCTTCACCCGGATGTGCCGGTCGAGGGCGTAGCTGAAGAGCCGCTTCTCCTGCACGTTTGGCTTCCATGTCCGCCGGGTCCTGCAGAGGCCAAGAGCGGAAGACTCTGCCAGTTCAGCGCCCATGTTGAGGATGGCCACTTCTGATCTCTTCTTAGCCAACTCTAACCCTCATTAAAAATAAAAATTAAAAAAATCCTTTTGCTAGAGATTTGGGCATCACACACGAAGCTTCAGCTAAGCGATTTCAAAAATGGCCAAGCAAACTAATGGGTTGGAATTGATTCAGCTCTCCACACAGGAAACGGGTTTCCTTCCTGAAAGCTATCTAGCCCCTATTAGGGTTTCCTTGAGCAGGCAAGCTAGCCCTGATCTGAGCTCATGCAATCCAAGGCTCAACACCAGCAGTCGATCAAATCATGACACTGTAGGAATTTTGTCGCCTCTCATCTTCTCATCAAGCAAGACGAGATTCTTGAAGCTGTCGACCGTTCTGAGAGATCGCCGGAAACCCTAGAAGGAACTAGCTCATCCTACGCGTGCAGCTTTCATCTGACAGAAACCGAGAAGACAGAATCGCAGCTAAAAAATCACAACTTGGCAAGATCTCGTGACAGCAGGCAAGGAAAATCTGATATGATGTAAGGGGTAAAGTAGCCTACTTGTTGCCCCCGTCCTCGCTAACGTTGTTGCCGAACTGGATATGACGGCCAGCGAAGATGCCGCGGTTGGCCCTTCCCATGACGAGCTTAGAGTTCGGAAGGCTCTTCTTCATCGACTCCATCACCTTCGGTGGCACCGAATCCCCCACCTTCTTCACCATCTTCTTATACAGCTGCTGCGACCTGAACGCCATGGCCTGCCTGGGATCAACCGGACGAGGGAAGAATATCTCAAGGGAAATCAAATATCCGGCACGAGATCCTGCAACACGAAAGCAACCTATGAGCGGAACAAAAGCTCCTGCCCTCCTCCTGATCGGAAATGAACCGTGCTTGCTCACAGGAAGGCGATCAACGGCCACTAGGTTAACCCCCTTACCTGCAGAGCCAGTCCAGCGATGGAGGGAGGGAGCACTGGGCGGGGGCCTTCAGAGTACCAATGGGAAGGCTGGAGACCGAGGGGTGGCCTCCCCTGGTTCGGACGGGCGGCGGTAGCAAAGCGAGGACCGAACTAGACGGCGTGGGGAAGAGCAGAAGGGTTTGCGCAGAATCTCAATAAAACCCAAAGAAAGTGAACGCTTGAACTAACAGGCCTGGATCATTGTGATATTGCAAAATGGGGCTGGCCGAATCTTCTTTATTTATGAATCGGTAAGAATTCATCGTCAAGTTTTCGAACAGCGGTGAGCAGAGAGAGAGAGAGAGAGAGAGGGGTAAGGAGTTGAAGCTTTTCAGTTCTCGACATCCATGGAAGGAGGGTTCATCAGGTCCTGCGACGGCGTGAGAGTTGCAGAGGGCCGGGTGTTGAGCCGGCTCCTCTTCTTCCTCCTCTCCAGGATCATCCTCTGGCCCAGGTACCTCCCCATCATCATGAGAGTGGCCTGCGGATTGGTCCCCGGAGACGCTGACAGGACGGAGCCGTCGACCACCCGGAGCGAGCTCACGCCGGTCACCTTGAGCTCCCCGTTCACTACCTTCCCCGCGACGCAGCCGCCGTGGTAGTGCCAGATCGTGGTGACCGTCCGCCGGCAGAACTCCTCCATGGCGGCGCCGTCCGAGCGGTTTACAGGCAGCGCCGGTCCGACGAACCGGAAATCCCTCCCGGCGGCGCCGCCGCCCTGCAGGGCTTCCTCGAGCGGTAGCCATCGGGGGAGCTTGAACTCCTCCATCGACTGCGCCTCCAGCAGGTCCCCGATCTTCCTCAGGCCTTCCACGCACCGCTCCAGGTCACCGCCGTCGGAGAAGTAGTTGAAGCGGACCCTCGGGTTGTCGCGGGCGTCCAGCGAGGCCAGGCGGAGCCAGCCCTCCGACAGCGGCCCCGCTACCTTCTCCATGACGGTGGCGACGGTGACGTACAGCGGCGACGAGGCTCTGTGGAGGAACAACGGCCGAGCAGGGGAGTAGAAGGGGACGACGGTGGAGGCGGCCTCCAGGAAGGCCCCGGAGTCGGTAATGCCCACCACCTGTATGAGGGAATGCTCGAGGGGCGCAGGCGGCGCGATGGAGATGCCGTTGCGGGGGTTGTCGTAGACGAACTTGCCGATGTGAGGGTGATGCCGGGCGACGGCGATGCCCATGGACTGGAGGTGCCCTCGAGGCCCTACGCCACTGAGGAGCAGCAGCTGGGGGCTCCCCAGGGCGCCCGCCGACAGGATCACCTCCCCGCCGGCGCGGGTTGTGGCGCGGTGCCTCATGCCGAACTGGTCACGGTAGACGACGCCGATCGCCCTCTGCTTCTTGCTCTTCTCGCCGGCGGCCGCGCGCTCTGCAACCTTGCCGGCGCTGGAAGAGGTAGCGGAGGTTGGTGACAGGGGCTTGAGCAAGATCTTCTCCGCCGTGGCTCGAACGGCCACCTGGATGTTCTCCTCTCTCGCGAAGGCCAGCAGATCGGCGGCGCTGCGCCTCCGGCCGGAGGGATCGAAGGTGGAGGCGCCGATCTTGGTCCCGTGGAGGTGGAGGACGGTGAAGTCGTTGTAGGGGGTGACGTTGGCCTCCAAGAGGCTGTCTCTAATGGCGGACTGCCAGCCCCGGAGCAGCGGCCGGAAGGTCACCGCCCGCTCCACCCACTCGTAGGACTGGTTCACCATCTCCATGTCCCACCGGATCGGGCCGCCGCCACCGCCCTCCATGAAGAACTCGGGCTCCGCGCGGCTGTAGAAGCCGGCGTTGATTGCACTGCTGCCGCCGAGGACTCTGCCCCTCGCGTTCGGCACCCCTTCCTCGGAGATGAAGGCCTGCGCGGGCGAGTTGTAGGCGTCTGTCTCCACCAGCGTCGCGAGGAAACCTTCCTGGCTCATCAGGTTGGGAAACTCCTGCGGGACCCCTCCTCTCTCAAGAAGGAGGACTCGGTACTCCTGGGAGAGGGTGGCGGCGAGGGGGCACCCGGCGGTCCCTCCTCCGACGACGATGTAGTCGTACTCCGCCTCCGTGGGGAACATAGAGGCGTCGAACGAGAACCTCGAGTAGCCCGCCTCTGCAAGAAACACACGCCGACATTCTCAGAACCAAAACCCTGCGAAAATCTTGAAGCCGCAGCAGCAGAGGAGAGGGGAAACCCCCGCCGACCTTGTTCCGCAGAGGCCTTTGTCAGCAGGAGCAAGAAGATGCATAGCAATCGGGCCAGTCTACAGAGCCCCGCCATAGCCTTCATGGCCAAGAGGAAATGGTAGAGAAGAAGAAGAAGAGTACCAGGAGCTTTTTCTGGGGAAAGAAGAAGAGGAAGAGCGCGGGCCTTCTGGCGGGAGATGGCCTCCACGGTCTGCTAAACCTGTGCGCTCCCTAACAAACCGACCTCTCAACCTTGATGCTTCCCTCTTCAGATCTTGGACGTCTGATCAACGGTCCTGATTGCTTGGAGATTGGACGGCTTAGATGAAGTTAAGCCTTTTTCGGAGGGACAAAGGTTTTTTCTTTTGCGCCCTCTTCCTGCGTCTCTGGTTGCTGTGGGGGGTCGGCCGGAGAAGATGGAGGGGGAGTGGGAGGCGGATGTGGCGGTGCCGAGCGTAAACCCTGCCGCCGCTGGCAGCCTGCGGCGGCACATAAAGAAGAGGGCCCTGAAGAACAAGGCACTTTCCGTCAGCTTCAACGAGAAGGATCTGAAGTGCGTCTTCCCTGCTTGCTCGTTACGTCCTCGTCGGTGTTATTATCTTCGTTTCGCGCTGTGTTTCTCTCTGTCGATGAATCTTCGGCTTGCGCCTTAGTAGCATGGTTCTTCTGTGATTTCCTTACGCCTAGGGATTACGTTACTGGATTCCATAAGCGGAAGAAGAAGAGGAGAAAGATTGCGCAGAGGCAAATCGAAGAGAAGGAGCGTCTGAGGCGTATTGAAGTCCGCAGAAAGGTAGTCTTTCTCGGTCTCGTGATTATTGAGGACTTTGATTTGTTTTTTTCTCAATGAGACAATGTTTTCTGCCATCACGGACAAGTTGCATCCCACGATGTTTTGAGGCTTGTGCTCGTATTGGCTCTTTTGGCGGTAGTTGACCAGATGAAGTCGCATATTCGTCCGTGAAGCTAGCCTCAGTGCTCCCATGTGTTCTTCATCAATGAATCTATGGATGCCACTGCCTCATTGCTTCATCCTAATCAAATCATTTAATTGTTGCCGATTTGACTCGTGGCTTTTGGAAGGCCCCTACCCGCGGAAATTCAGCTCCATGACTGATCAATGAGCCGTGAATTGTGCTAAAAGATTCTCTGAAATTTTTGAACTTTCAAAGCCCCCCTTCAGCATTGGCTGACGTTAGCAAAACTCTTTTGACCAGTTTTCATCTCCCCCTTCATCATTTTTCGGTGATTTACCTTGTAGATAATGTAGTACTTGTTTTATATTTTCGAGTATTCAACTAAAGCCAATAAACCAACGGAGATTGCCTTCTATTTTTAGAACAGGATGGAACCATCAAGTTCTCAAGGGTTTTCCTATGTCCGGGGTTTTTTCTATAAATCTTAGAAGGCAATATTTCCATGGAATATTTGGAAGGCATGTTGAAAATAGGGTCAAATTTTCTCGTGCGATTATCTTCATGGAAATAGGGTCAAATTTTTGTGGGTTGAGTTGACATAGAATAAGGTCTCCCCTTCCATTTTCCCATGGGTAGATGCCTCGGGGCCCCATGTTCCACATCATTCTGTGCTCTAATGTGTGAAGCCTCCATTTTCTTTTGAAGAGGATGGTCTTTGTGTTTACCGAGTTCACCTCATGGTTGGTTGAACTCAAGAGACCGACGAAAGAAATCCGTGAATAAAGAAACCCAATATAGTTATTTTTATCGATTGAAAGTGTGCATGGTTTCTAGCCTTCAAGATCAAGGTTTGTCTTGATAAGAAGGAAAAGCTGAACTACCAAGATTAATTTTCTTTCCCCGGATTAATATGATGAGTGGCACGAGTTCTGTCCGTTTCATGGCAACTATCTCGCCATTGATAGTTGTAAAATTGTTGCAGAGGAAGCTAGAAAGAGAAACTGCTATGTATGGTGGGGCATTACCGGCGGGAGAATCTGAAAAGACCGATTCGGGAGCTGAAGAAGACGGGGGTGACCTTGAACAAGATGATCTCGAGAGAACTCAATCAGTTTCAGGTATAGACTGGACTGCGAATTGAAATGGCGTACCTGGGCTCTACAGCTATCAGACATCCTAACACCAGTTTGAGATCATTGATCCTTCTTTTTCCTTCTCAACTGCCGACGAGAAGTGGGACATTAGACTACTCTTTGGAAAACTGACGAGTTTTCTCCTCATTCCAGCATAGTATCTTTCTGCTAGATTAGCATACTCTCGTTTCATCTGCAGGTTGGCTTCGAACTATATGTTTATCCCCTGTTCTCTTTATAGCATTTTGTGCTAGGTTCATATTCAGACTCGGGCTGGTTAATACTGATATTCATGGATATTCAAAGGAAATAACAAAAGATTAGTAATACCCAATCGACGACTTTGGCGTCGAATGAATGACATTTCTGTCCCGTCTCCCTTTAGCAATTTATGGATTTCATTTTCTCCCTTAAAAAATGAATCGTTTTTTTTTTTTTTGAATTTTCAAGTCCCTCCAAAACACGGAATATCAGTCACTCTAGGGAGCTATCTATATAATCCAGTAATTATGAAGCAATTCAAAACACTCAAACCAAAAGTGTCATCTTTTCTTCTTCTTTTTTTCTTAATTTTCTGTTATCATCCTCTTGTATTCATGTGACTGATAGCTCCTCTTTGTCTTGATTATTGGTGAAGGGACCAAGATGTATGAAAACAGTGAACTGACGATAACAGTGACAACCAGTGAGTTCTCACGAGGAGAAGATACAGATCTCAGCGAAGGTCATCCTCACGTTGCTCCCGAGCTGAGCGCTGCGGTCAGAAAGAGCGGCGGCTTGCCACCAAAGAAGAAGCCTCTGAAGAAGGTTGCCAGCCAGAGATCCCGCAAGAAGAAGCTCAAGAAGTCTGCAAACCAGAGGAAGAAGGGGAGTAAGAAGGGGAGTAGGAGATAGATTGGGCCGTACAGACCTGGGAGAATCCTATCTTCTTTGACCAAGTTTTTTTTTTTTTTTTTTTTTCATGCAAGGATTTCCTTGAGCTCTGTGGGGCCCACATGTATCTACCAAACTTAGGAGAAGGCCTTCGATGTGATCCTATGAGGGTGCCCAACTCTCTATCTATCTCCACATGCAGGGATACTAATGGGCTGGGTATTCTGAGAAGCCAACCTACCCTCATTTTCTTCCAGACTCTGAGGACTAAGATTAAAAACGTCCCAGTTTGACCCATTATTTACCTTGGTCGGGTCTGAAGTTCGATCTCATGTATGAAACTATGCTTCATATGCCTGGAGTGGTGGTCACCTACTTTCTCCTTCTTCCACCTGACTGAGAGCTTGCTTCTCTCCTTCTCTCCTTTCTCTCTCTTCCAACCCAGCAGAGAGCCCTCCCTCTCTCCTCTTGGTACCCCCACCAGCTTCCCAAATCATCTTCTTCCCGGCGGAGGGGCTTCTTCTCCCAGAGGTGTCGCATTCTGTGGCGAGCAGGAACGAAAAACGTGATGAGAGTAGGAATGGCGACGTATCGTCAGGTAGAAGGGAACGAAGGTACCCTCCGGACGTCTCCCTCGGCCCACACCTTCGGCGATGTTGCGGCCGTCGCCATTGCCAGCCTCTTTGATAGTTTCTCCCCACCTTGGACCATCCTTTCCTTCTCATCGGAAGCCGCGCGGAACGCCGAAGAAGAGCGAACCCTGAAGGGGGACACCGACCTTCTACCTCCACTGAACGTCTGCGGAGAGAGAAATGCCCTAATGAGACACCCGCGTTGGTGGGGAGAGAGATTGTTTGGTCACGGCTGCCATGGGACAACAACGACAGCCTCGAGGCTCATGGAAGTGGTGAACGAGTGGAGCTTGAGCAAGATGGGGACTTGCCCGAATTTGTCCGTAACTAGCCAATTAAAACAACTTGTATTCTCCTAAATGCTTCACGTTATGATCGATCTAAATGTTTCATGATGGTAAGTTTTCACCGATAATTAGAGCGAGCCCACCGGCTTACTTCACCATATGATACATTTTCATCGGATCAATTGATTTTTCCCCTTATTGATATTATGTTTTCACCTGGTGTTTGAATTAACCGCATGGATTTAATCACGGCTTTGTTTGTACTTCAGCTGATCAAGACTATTCTAACATGAAGCTTCAGATATAAGCTCAAGGAAGGAGTGACCCATACAACTAGAGATTGATCCGTGATGGGCTTAGTGGTCTCCGTATTGAACTTAGTTTAATTTATCTTCTTTTTAATGTCGGGTAAAGCATGCGGTAGTGTCATTGAGTGTCCATCAATGATCGGGAATCATTTTTCATTGACTCATTCTATGAGTTCATTGTCTACTGACAGTTTTGTTGGGCAGTATTACTCCACTCTCTTTCATGAAACTGCCTCACTCTCTCACTCTCTCTCTCTTTCTCTCTCTTTCTGTACCCCTTTAAATTTTTTATCATTTTCATGTGCTTATTTATTTCTGTCCGTATATCTTGCTGAAATATCATACGTATAGATATATATATGTCTGAATATTTGATGTCATTAGACTGATTGGTGCGTGGTTTGGCCGTGCGTTGCGATCTCGGAAGGCATGCCAATCACCTTTTGAGCTGTACTTGGGGAGAGGAAGCAGCGGTGGGAGGTTACGGATCCAGCGACGGGCGTGGGAGAGAGGGGTCGTCCGTGCATGTACAGCTCGAGCTCGGTTTCATTCATTTGGGCGATTCGTTCGGTCTACAGAACGAGTCAGGGCCGACTCGGCAGCTCTAATCTACGCTTCAGAGCTCCGTCTGACTTTGCTCCTCCATCCTGATCTACACTTAGAGAAGATCTTCTCCACTCAGCAGTCCGACGAGTGGCGCGAGCCTTCTTCTTCTACCTCCCGCTCCGCCTGCTCCTCTTCCTCTTTTTAGATAATTTCGAGGGGATTGTTGAGAGAGTGCGTGTGTGTGATGGGCTACGGGGTGAGTCTGGGGAAGTACCAGGTCGGAAAGACGATCGGCGAGGGAACGTTCGCGAAGGTGAAGGTGGCCTCTAACACAGAGACCGGGGAGAGCGTGGCAGTGAAGATACTCGACAAAAAGATGGTTCTGGAGAACAAGCTCATGCAGCAGGTGGGCTTCTTCTTCTTCTTCTTCTTCTCCAGCTCCTCCGAGTTCCTCTGGTTACGGTAACGAAGGGAAACGTCAACTAGGATCAACGCACATTCATCGTCTCTTTAATTTCAGGTCAAGAGAGAGATCAGCGCGATGAAGCTTCTCAATCACCCGAACATCGTTCGAATATACGAGGTCTGCCATGATGAGCTTTGCAAGATCTATGGAACATTTTTCTTCCTGAGACTTTCTGGACATGCAGGTCATTGCGACGAAGAGTAAAATATATATCGTCATGGAGTATGTTTCCGGAGGACAGCTCTCGGACAAGATGGTGGGCATCGACAAAATTGAGAAATTTCGCTCTTAATCTACCTTCCTCTTATCATCTTACTCTCTCTCTCTCTCTCTCTCTCTCTCTCTCTCTCTTTCTCTCGCTCGTGTGTCAGTCTTATCCTAGCATAGTAAGCGAGAAGGAGGCGAGAAAATACTTCCAGCAGCTAATTGACGCAGTGGACTGCTGTCACTCCAGAGGCATCTACCACAGAGATCTTAAGGTCAGATTCGATTCAAAGCACTCCCCTTTAGATTCCTTTTCTCGTTTAATTTTCCTTTTCTGTCTAATTTCGCGGAACCTTCATGTGTTCACTGCGATCCCCCGATCTCACCAACAGCCCGAGAATCTGCTGATAGACAGCATGGGGAATCTTAAGGTCTCCGACTTTGGACTCAGCGTATTGAGAAAGGTGATATATCTCGATCTGTGTAAACCACTTGAAATTCTGTCATCTCCGAGAGGGAAGATATCAATGAAATGACAGTTTCTTAGATTATTGTTTTCTCTATAAATCAGTTACCACTTGTTGAAATATTGGGACATTCAAATCAAACCCATTGGCAATAGATGAAGCCCATTTCGACACTTAACGATTCTGTTTATTTTTAATTTTTTTGTATAGTTTGACGTACCTAATCATGTGCAAGGTAAGTTTTGGATGCTATCCATGCAAACAATTTTTTTTTGAGACCATATATTTCAAAATCATTTTCAAGTTTCATACCATCCAATTCAAAATTATTAGTATCTTGTCATGAACACCCATCTATACGTTCATAAGATTTTATTTATCATCTGCAATATAGGACATGGTAGATCATCATGGAACCGTAATAACTAGTTTATGAAGGTGATAATTGTATAAGCTAGCATACGTTTAACGATTTATGCAGCCCGGAGATATGCTATCTACAGCTTGTGGATCGCCAAGCTATGTGGCTCCAGAGGTACTCGATTTTGCGAGGGTTATTACTTTTTCCAAACGCGAGAACTTTGACAACAACCAAAGCACTGAGAGACATGTACCATTGTCTTATTGATACTAGGTGATATTCCACAACAAGTACGATGGAGCTGCCGCGGATATCTGGTCATGTGGGGTAATTCTCTTTGAGCTGCTCTCTGGTTTTTTGCCTTTTGAGGACAAGAACACGTCAAACTTATACAAGAAGGTAGATTTCCCGTGGACTCTGGCTCTAGTCTATTGGCTTACCGACTGATCTGTGCTCCATTCTTTCATGAAGATATCGGGAGCGGAATTCATATGCCCAGAATGGTTCTCAGCAAGCCAGCGAAAGCTTATTTCCAGGTTGTTGGAGCCAAAGCCAAGAAGGGTAAGCAGTAGTACATCATTCTAAGTAGATCATCTCAGAATCATTATGATAGACCCGCATTGATCAATTAATAAGCTTACCCTATCGTAACTTGGTACAGTTACGTCTCTGACCCTCGCCCTTCGCGTCAGATTAGGAAAGAAAAATATACCCGTTGCAGTCTTTGGGCCCTACGTAAGGATTGCCATAAAAGTCAACGATCCTAATTTTCTAGCTTCACTGACATCTAGGAATCATCCAACTGAAGGTTTTTTAACAATTACAGACGGAGGGCCAAACCTTTATAGGGTTCCTTCCCAATGGCCATTTTATTTGCTTCTTGTCTAGATCATAGCTCCCTAGAAGACGTCGAGGTTCGACTGATAATGTTAATTGCTAATATGAACCCACGAATAACTAACTAGAAAATTAGCCCACGTATGACTTGGTAAACTATTCATTGCGGACTGATATTGGCTTAGGCACCCCAATTCTCTACCATGTCAGATTAGGATCTCCTCCTGCATCAGACGGTAATTTCTTTCTCGCGATATTTTTTAGAGGGCAAAGGTTGCCGAGATTCTCGAAGATGGGTGGTTTCGAATCGATTACGAGCCGGCGGCGGCGATCACAAACGAGGAGAAGGCGAATTTGGAAGACGTCTACCGGACATTCGATAGGATTGGTGTGAGTATCTTCAGGAAGCTTCACTAAACCACCCCAAATCTTGAGCGTCAATTCCAAAATGAAGACCTTGGGAGAATACTGGGCAGGAGACACTCAAAACAGAAGAGACGAGGAAAATCCAGTCACCCAGCTTCATCAACGCTTTCCAACTCATAGCCATGTCCAATCATCTTGACTTATCAGGCCTCTTCGAAGAGCAGGTGATTATAAGATCCTCTGCTCGTTTCCTCCGCGCCGCTTTTTGCTTTATTGACTAACATGGGCTCGCCGTCTTCTTCCACGAGGAATAGAAGACGAAGCTTGGTTCAAGGCACTCCATGACCGAGACAATAGAGAAGATTGAGGTCGCAGCCAAGGATGCCAGCCTCTCCGTGGAAAGGACGAACAGCTCAAAGGTAGGAGAAGATCATCTCTCTAGTCGAGAAATTGATACTTGTCACACTCGCCGTCACCCTTTTTGGTCTATATTTTATCGTAGAAAAGTAGCTATTGAGAAACATAGGTTTGCTTCACGAAAAGTATTACTGATTTGAAATCAATCGATGACAGTTTTTTTTTTATATTATTTGATTAACCTTTTGATTTATAATTACCCAATTAGTTTATAAAATGTGTAAGTGTGTCAACGGGCCAACCGGGCCTGGGCCTTGAGGTCCTTCTATCCAACCCCCATCTTCTATGAAGCTCAGACACCAAAAATGGCCATCTATTAGATCTGCACATGTTCTCCATGAAGACCCAAACGTGCATGACCTAGCTCTCTGTATTTAGCTCCTCAGGGGAGAGTGGGGGGAGAGAGAGAGAGAGAGAGAGAGAGAGAGAGAGAATACAAAACCAGTGACTGTAGAACTTGGCTGGACCATGTCGCGCTATGGATACAGTCCACAAAAGGACCGGGTCAATCATATTTTCTTCGTAGGCTGTAAGTCTTGAGAAAAACTGATAGGGCATCCAGGCTTCCAGCTCACACAGACCATCTAAGACTATACAGATTTTTTCACTCACTTCTTGCAAAGAATGAATAATCACGCCTTCCTGAGCAATGCAGGTCAAGCTCCATGCTCCTCAGAAACTGACGAGGTCCATATCTCAGATCATAGTATCTGCGGAGGTATAAATATAGTGTTTCCCCAAAGAAACGACGATACATCTCGTTTCTTGACAATTTACACTTCCAGGTGATCGAGGTGACGCCGACCCACTGCATGATCGAGATATCCAGGTCCAGCTCTACTGGGGAGATCAGATCCTACAAAGAGGTATTGAGAAGTCCCATGCTCTACAGTTAATATGCTGTTACGGATTGAAGGAACGAACTCATCGCCTTGCTCCTGGCTCAACTGGGCAGTTCTGCAGAAGCTTGTCGAGTATTCTGAAGTGATGATACGGCAGCTCTTCGGAGCCGGAGGCGTCATGGAAGATTTATAAACCTGGCTGGATGAGAGAATCAGTGGGGACGAGGCGAAGATTTCCTCAACGGCCGAAATGGGTTTCGATGGGTAATGAAGTACGTAGAACTGCGAAGATTACGAGGAAAACGAAGCCTCTGGAGAGCTTCGCTACTTTTCAGCTCCTCTCTCTCTCGTTCTCAACTAACTCGGGACTGGGGCTTGCTTCCCACCGACAACCTGTGAAGTTTTTGAATGACAAGCGGAAGATGAAAAGTCGTCACATTCCCCCCCTCCCTTTAGGCCAATCTTCTTCCTAACCTGTTACCCGATTATCATGAACAAAAAATACCGCAATCTATTTCTTTCCTCTGTTCGGGTTCTTGTTTGACGGAGATTCAGGACAACCGTGACACTCTGTGAGATACTTCTTTCTATCATTTTTTTTAATCTTTGCCTTAATATGCCAGCACAACTAGTGGTGTAATTTTCCCAATATCAGACCAGTGGGGGAAATGGAGTTGATGTTCACTTGTCACATTTCCCTCTACTAATCAATGAACCACAAGGGTGTGAGAAAACAAGACGAGCAAGAAGAATAGAAGAAGGATAGAGAAGAACAAGAGTGAAAGATATGATTCTATTGTTGATATAGAAAATCATATTTTTATAGTGATGTAAGGTCGGTGTTTATATAGAGTTCTTTCAGTATTATTATTTAGTTTTGTTAATTTGCAACAGTCATATGCTCAATTGCTTTTTTTGAAAACCATTGAACGGTTTTTTGTGAAAGAGTATTATCTTTTACACGCCCCTTGAAACTCATGTCGGGTACTACATAGAGGTTGTGGTGTAGTTAATGTGCACTTGTTGTTGTGTTTAAATACATATTATCTAATAATATTTATAATTAAAACTTAATAAAATATTAGTATAGAAGTAAGTCTCAGGTCAAACAAAGAGATTGATTAATTTGTCATGAAAACTAATTTAGTTTATATATATAAAGTGATTTTAATATTTTATTAATATTTAATAGATCCTAAAATAGAAGGGTGAAGTGAGAAGAATAAAAGAAGGAAAGTAAAGAAAGGAAGAAAAGAGAGAAAAGATATCTCTTGCAAAGGATAAGAGAAGAGATCTCTTGCAAAAGAGAGAGAAAAAGAGAAGAGGAGAGAAATCTCACATGAGATGAAGAGAGAAAAAGGTCTCATTAGAGAGAGAGAGAGAGAGAGAGAGAGAGGAGAGAGAGAGAGAGAGAGAGAGAGAGAGAGAGAGAGAGAGAGAGAGAGAGAGAGAAGGAGAGAGAGGGAGATCGATTGATGGAGAGAAAGAGAGGGAGAGAGAGATATAAGAAGATAATAAAGAAACAGAGATATATAGTCATCTTGATTTCATGGTGAGTAATATTTTTGGATGAATGTGTGCTTGAAAATTCACACATATGACATGAGATCAATAGTGAATGTGGTTCTGATTTTAATTGGGGGGAGCAAAGAAAATTTAGTTAGAATTATTTCATGAATAATTGGGATAAGAAAAAATTAAGCATAGGAACTTGTCTTGATGAATTCATGGATTTCTATATTTTTTATATAGGATGTTAAATTCATTTAAGTATGAAATTTAAAGTGTGTTAGATTTAGTGACTTCAAGTGATAGAAAAAAAAATGTAGTACATTAAAGGATGAAATATTTTCAAAATATATCTTGATGATCATGATCCATATGTTATGAATTCATATTTTGAATTAGTAGAAATTAGGAAGTTGGATGTGATGAGGTAGAAATTTTATAAAAATTATTGGAAGCTAGACATTCTTAGTATGAAGAATCCTAAGTAGTTGACCATTTGTGTTATATATATATAGAAAAAAAAATCATAATATGGTAGGGTGTAGGATCCAACTCATGAAAAAAATATATATATGGAGATTTTCCACTTGTCCCACAAAGACTTTTCTATATGTCTTCTATGGAGATTTCTTACTTATCTTGTGAAAGCTTTCCACATGTGAGATTTATATATGAAAAAGAAGCTATATGTGGATAGCTACTTGCCTATGATGTTTATAATAATAACAATAATAAAAGACAAATGGAATACGCTACTTGGCTGCACTAATCTAGAAGAAAAGGTTGAAGATAGTTTGAAAACTTGAGTAAACTTTTGACCATTTAATTAGTGATTTACAAAATGAAAGATGTTGAATTAGATGCATTGAAGAGAATGAAAGTTAAGATGAATATTTTTTGAAATAGTTCATTTAGATATGGAAATATTTTTTAATTTTGATATTGTAGGAAATTATTTCAAATCACATAAATATCTGAGTATTTATTTGAATGTCATCTCTAGTGAAAAAATGAGAAAATAAATTATTTATGTAAAATAATTAATAAATAGCTTTAACTTTGTAAGTCTTTTACTTATTGCTAGATACTAGTAAAATTCAAAGTTGGGGATATTTGTTAAAGCAAGATTTTTTTCTTTTAAATAGTTTTAATATTTTATTTTATTATGTTAACTTGCAGAATAAATAGAGGATATTTTTTTAATTTTAGAAGTCTAAATACTTAACATAATTTTTTATTATTTAAAAGTATAAAATAATAAAATATAAAAATATATTCTACCTACTAGCAAGCCATCACTTGAGAGCTGACTTGGAGGAGTGTTGTAGTCGAGTGGGTAGACACAAACTAGGGGGAGCCAAGAGTTGGACTCGAGTGGTGACAGACTCGCTCTATGCACATGTATCACTCTCTTGCCACGTCTCAGTGGCCAACTAGTTGTGGAGCAAGGAGAGTCGTACACACGTGCTTGCGAGGGTGGTCCACCTTTTTGCCTTCTCCTAGGATGGTCCTAAGCATTATTTTATTTTGATAGAAGGAATCTATGATGAGAGGTGATAGCTTTGATTTATATTCGGCTCATATACTAAAATATTTTTGATGTGGGACTAAACCTTTTCATATGTCTTGGGGCAGCCATCTTGAGCATGGTGTGATCTAGTGGTATTCAACGAGTCACATCATCAAATAAGCCAAATCATGTAGTGGGCGAGATGCCATGATACCACATGCATAAAGCAATCTATCAATAGTTCGAGAATTCAATGCTGCTTAGAACGCATGTGGTAATAAATGTTGATTCGATGGTTAAGTAGACACCACAATACTAAGAACTTAAGTTCCTGGATGGTAGTAGTTCATGGCAGGTTGATCCTGTGTCACTTAGTGCACCATGTGACCAAAGCACGTTTGATCTAGTGGCTCGTGACGTGTCATGATATTAGGAACTTAAGCTCTTATACATATCATTATCAGGGATATATAGACAATAATCAATTATTTAGTAAAATAAATATTATCAATTATCTCTAAAATCTCAATGGCAGTCACGAGTACAACAATCTATTCTTCCTTCCTTTTATGTGATCAACGTATCCAACGATCAATAAGTTTATTCCTTCCTCCCTTGACTACACTCAAGGCTTTTGATGAGTGGTCAGCTCTTCCCTTCTCTCCCTAGACGATGGTGACAGCATGGTCAACCCCTCTTTTGGTAGATCTCTTCGGCAAGCAGTGCAACACTTCCAATTGATACTTTCGCAACTTCTGACATGATGTGACACATCCAGACAAAACCAAGCCACCACATCAGTGTCTCCGATTGCCCAGGAGACAAACTAAATTTGAGCATCAATTTTATTTCCTACTTTTAGTATTTACTTACCTAATTTTGTCATTTATTTATATTTTACGACAAGTTATTTTTGTTTTATGCATGTTTTGATTAAAATGAGTTGAACTAATTCAAAACTTCATGAATGATTTTTTTTCTTTTTCTAAATCCTCTCAAAACTCATCTGAAATTAGCTAAGATTATTTCTAACTTATTTTATATTGATTTTCATAGTCGAATCTCGACTAGTGTTCCACGAATAATGAGTATTTTTTTATTTTTGAACATGAAATCATTGAGACTAAAGTTTGATTAATGAGTGTTCAATAGTTACAATAAATTAGAGACATTCACGACTGACCTCATGTCATGCATATGAATTTTCAAGCACATATTTGTCCAAGAACAATGGTCATTGTGAAAATGAGTTGACTGTATTTCTCTCTTTCTTTATTATCATTTTATTTCACTCTCCCCTTTTCTCATGAGACCACTTCTTCTCTCTGTCTCTCGTGAGATCTCTCTCTCGATTGATCAATCTCCCTCTTTTTCTCTCCATCAATCAATCTCCCCCTCTCTTTCGCTCTCCCTCTCTCTTCGTCTCACATGATATTTACTCTTCTCTCTTCTCTCTATCTTCTCTCTCCCTCATGAAACCTTTCTCTCCATCTCACATGAGATTTCCTCCTCTCTCCTCCTCTCTCCTCCTCTCTCTTCTCTGTCTTACTTTCTTCACTTCCATTTCTTTATTCTTCTCACCTCATCTTTCTATTTTATTATTTCTGTTAAATATTAATAAAATATTTAAATTACTTTTTATATAAACTAAATTAGTTTTCATGACAAATTGATCAATATCCTTATGTTCAACTTGAGACTTACTTCTATACTAATATTTTATTAAGTCTTAGTTATAAATATTATTATAATATAAATTTAAACACAACAACAGGTGCACATCACATATACACTTCATGATCATAGAAATCAGTCAAATCCTCTTTAGAAAAATCATAACAAATTTTTTAATTCTCAAAATCATGCCATGAATTCTCAATCATTTCCTAGACCTAATCATGCATTTAGACCTCCTCGTCAATCGCAATATAATGATAAACCCTCTTTTCAGCAAAATACTCATAATTTCCAATAAGGTACTCATCAACCACCAGGCCAAAATTTCACTCTTTCTTCTTCAAGTTCAGTCCCCAACTTTAGCCCGCAATATCTTAATTCATATCAAAATCAATTTGATACAAATTTAAATTCGGTGTAATAGTTTATGGGACAGATGATGTAATCATTTTAAGAAATAAATACATCCATAATGAATATGATGGAGCAAATTAGGTAAGAAAATCAGCAAACAACTCTTAGGTTAGAAAAAGAGATAAGTATACTAGCCTTGGCCCATTCAAAATGTGAAACATATCATCTTCTTAGTTAGTCCATTATGTACCCACGAAATCAGCCTTCTAGTAGTCATGAACCATCTACATCTTAAGGCTTTGAAAATGTAGAAATGGTGACCACTTTGAGGAGTGAAAAACAACTCAAAGATCCATATGCATCAGATTTTTTAAAAAAACAAGTTCATGGTGATGAAGTGTTTAATGATGATGGTAATGATCATGATAGTTTATTTTTTGATGATAATAATTTATAAAAAGAAAAGTAAGAATAAAAAAAAAATCAGAAGTGGACAAAACACTAATTTCTGTTTTATCATAGTCAAATGAACTTAAAAAATAGTCCCCTTTCCTAAGGCATTAGAACCAAAACTTAGAAAAAGAGCTGAAACTAATGAAGAGCTTATAGAAATATTTAAACAAGTTCAGATCTCTATCTTTTGATAGATGCAATCAATATATACTTGTATATATAAATTTTTTCAAAGAATTATGTACAACTCGTAGGTCACCTTAGAACATATCTTTATCTAAAGAGGTTAGTGCCATTATTTTCCATTCTTTGCCTAAAAACTTACGTTAAATATTTTAACTTTAAACTTTTAAATTAGCAATATATCCTATATTTATTCTGCAAGTTAACAAAATAAAATAAAATAATAAAACTAATTAAAACACAAAAATCTAACTTTAACAACCTCACTTGTAGTTGGATCCCAACATGACAAAATAGTTGACTTGACAGATTGGCATGTCACATGTAGGTCTAACTTGCAAGGATTTCTCAATTTAATATCAAAGGACCGCATTCTAGAAAAGCCTTCAAAGTCTCTAGATTATGGAATATCTTGTGAGCTGTCCCTACAAACAAAAATCTAACCTATTTGGAAGAGTATTTATCTTTTAAGAAAATACTACATCGACAAGAGAATATTGTATTGATAACACATGAATAGTGTGTTGGAATAAACCTTAAATTAGTTTATTTTATATTTATATGATATTATTAATATGTTGTTCACATCAATCGTTATGATTTTTAATATGTTTCAAGGTATCTTAATGTTTTTAATATTTTTTAGAATTTATGAGATTAATCTCCTCATACATATTTAGGTGGCTTATTAAACAAGATCATTATAGACATTGAATATGCTCTCATAATTTTACTAATCATTTTCTAGTGATTTTAGAAATTTATGTGTCAGGTCATGGATGTTTCATTAGTGGCTGCGATGTAACAGCCTAATTGTTACTCACAAGAGTGAGGAGGCAGCTTTGTGGTGGGAGAAAGATTTGACAGCTCAAGAGAGAGCACATGAAAAGGAAGACCACCAATCTAACAAAGTGTGGCCTTGTAGTGGACAAAGCCACCAGAACATTTGGGCAATATCTCTTACATGAGCAAGAGGTGAGTGAGAGAGGAGAGAGATGAAACATCACCCTATACATTTAGAGAAAGCTCATGTCATGAACAGTTTTGGATTAAGAAAACCTTTGGTGATTTAATCAGCCCAAAAGATTTACGATTTTTCAAGCTCCACATCGTATGAACGTATGTGTGTCAATCTAGAGTGCTCCTCATCTTGTGTGAACAAGATCTCGTCCACTGCTTCAAATGAATGCCTCTTCCTAGTGGAAGTAAAAGAGCAGTGACACTAAGTTAGCTTCAAGATGAGGAAAGCTCTTTTTATTTTAGGTTAAATTTTAGTTAGAAATTTAAGAGTAAAAGTCACAATCTGAATTCATCAACCCTCCTTTTTTCTCTTTCTAGTCCATGACCTCTAGCTTTCTTTTTCACTCTATCCTTCATTAGAACAAGTATTAATCATTAAGCCCAAATTCTATAAAAAGACAACCTGACTCACTATTATTTATGAATACTTCATGAATCAAAGTAAAACAGAACTCAAAATATTTTTGATTAAGGAGATTAAAGACTAATGACACCTATAGAAGATCACGCTCATCATGTTCAAAATAAATATAACTAGCCTTCACTCACTTGCCACCCAACGAGAAGCAGAGACTATTGCTACGAGGGCACGGAGGTTCTCGGACGAGCTGCCACCAGGCTGAACTTGCTGGAGTGCCACCGCCCATAGGGCACATGCCCTCTCCTTCATCTTCTTCCCCTCCGCCGTCCTGAGGACCACGTGGAGAGCCTTGGTGACCTCATCCTTGGTCATTGTCTTCTTTAGGAAGGCCACTCCGATCTCCCACGTGTGTGAGATGGCACGCGCGTTGATATGTTGGTCGCCAAGAATGGGGCAACACACCATGGGAACGCCGCCGGAGAGGCTCTCCAGCACGGAGTTCCACCCGCAGTGGGTCACAAAGACCCCGACGGCGGGATGCTCCAAGACGCGCAGCTGAGGGGTCCACGTCGTTACCAGCCCCAGGCCGGCCGTCCGGGCGAGGAAACCGGCCGGCAGGAGGGTCCAGAACTTCTCTTTCAACGACCACAAGAAGGGGGTTCCACTGGCTTCGAGCCCCTCGGCCAGCTCCGCTAGCTCCGCCGGCGGAGGGATCGCAAAGCTGCCGAAGCCGATGTATACCACCTCGCCGTGGGCCAGACGGTCCAGCCACTCCAGGCAGCCGGTGGAGTCGGGCCGCAACGGCGGCGGGCATAGGAGGTTGAGCGGTCCCAGAGGGAGACATCTTTTGAACTTGGCGTGGAAGTCGATGAGCACGGCGGGGTCGAGACCTTCGAAGGTGTTGATCACTGGCGCCGAAGCGCGTGGTAGCTCGAGGCCCATTCTGTGGAGGAGGCGGGCGAAGACGGAGTTGAGATTGCCGGAGACGACTCCTCCCGGCAAGTCGCGGAGGCGCGTGCCGGCCATTCCGGGGAGAAAGCCGAGGTCATCGTCAACCTTGGATTCCACATCAGAGGGTCCCTTCCCTCCGGCGCCGACGGTTTCGCGGAGCAAGTCAGTGTAGAGATGGACCGACAAGCTCCGGGGACCTCCGTTCCACAGCCCCACCCACGGGACCGGCACCCCGAGCTCTGCCGCCAGGTCCCCGGCGAACCAGAGGAAGCAGTCACTTATCACGCTTATTGTCGCCCCGCCAGTACTACGGACCGCCTCCTCCATCCCCTCTCGGAAGTTTCCGGGGGTGACCCGCATGAAGTTGTCGATTTCCTCCTCTGGCTTCCTGAGATCGAAGGTGCTGTCTGCCGGACACCCGTCGTCCACGTCATAGAACTTCAGGTTTGGTGACGCAGAGTCGACGGCGGCGAGGGTGGCGTTGGACTTGGCGGAGTTGACGAAGGAGAAGGCGACGTGAGGGGCCGCGGCGGGGAGGCGGCAGGCGAGAGCGTGGAGGACTGCGGGGTGGCTTCCGAAGGGGAAGGCGAGCACGGCCACATGCGACTGCTGCCCCTTTACTCCGTTACCAGCCTCCATGAATGACCGCGAGAAAATTTTGACTGCACTTGGAAGATTGTTATAAAACTCTCAAATTAGGTCAAATTAAATTTTTACTTTTCTGAGGTTAGTCACCTAAGATAGATTCATGAAAGATTATGTTGCTGGATATCTTCAGGTCGAACACAAGAATTAGGAATCTGACGAGTTTAAAACCGATTTTTCTCTATTTGATTCATCGACGAAGGAAGATGGGAAGATGAGAAGATTGAGAATAAACCATTTTAAACGCTTAGAAAGGGGAAAAGAGATCACGCAATCAAGATGTTACTCTTAATCTCGTGATGGAAAGAGAGAAGATAAAATCGTTGAAATCTTATGAGCTACGTATTCTAGAAATTCCTAAAATCCAGTCGTTGCATAAACATGCAAAGGGACCGGCTGTTGATCACTGAGTCTCAGATAGCAATGCAGAATACTAAGCTTTTATTGAAAGATTCAAAGCGTAGAGTACATTCCAGCCCCTTCTCCGTCACACGACAGCCGCCGAAAAAACTCTCTCCCCCCCCCCCCTCCCCACAAGAGTGACAGAACAACTATGCTCCCCTGCCTCGGTTGCCCATAGATGACCTAGATCGTGAGGTCAGGTCTCAGCAGTCGTCAACAATCCGATCTTCATCAGACATCAGCGGCGACGATTTCCTGTTTTAGTCTAGACAGTTTTCCGATTTTCGTGACCCATAATGACGGTCCGATGATCACTTTACATCGCGACTGTTGGATCCAGATATCAAGGATTGTCGTCCATTCTGACACGATTAAGTCGTGTTCGTCAGATCGTTGTACCAAAATCCATCGATAAGCCTATCAAGGATTGCCGTCAGATCTTCCTTCGCCACTCGCGATCATCGGATCTTCCTAAAATAATAAAATAACAGACAAATCATCAATAGTATATTTAACATAAAACTAGGTGATTTCTCGCAAGACAAACTCTGAGAAAAATCCCAAAAAACAGGAAAAATCAGAGAATGCTTCTGAAATAAAATGAATCATTTTAAGCTTGATAAAATGTCATATTCTTTGAAAACCTGTTAAAAACGTGTATAAATAATATTATTGATAATGTAAGATAACATGTTATCACACCAACCCCTCAATTTAAATCATTGCTAGTCCCTAGCAATAGAATAAAATTCAGTAAAAATTCTGCAATATATTCTATGTATCGTGCTCATGAGTTAGAAAATTTAACTTAGCTTGATTACCTATGTCATTCACCATCATCTCAAGGTAAATTCAAATTGAACTTACCTTGTTTATGTTCAAACACTCTTGGGAACTTTGGTCTAAATTCAGCTTTCTAAACCAAGTCACTGATCCTCTCAGCATAAAATAAAATTCAAAAATGCTTAGACAATCAAACTTCAGATTAAATCATGTTATCACTTTTTCAGATTAGATTGACATGCTTTATCACTTCCATGTCTCATAAATTTAATACAAATGCAAGTAGCTTTTCCCATAAATTATGCTCACTTGTCTTAATCTTGCATAAGGAAAGCCTCCATGAGACAAGCAAGAAATCCCTGAAGAGCATTTTAGCATTTTCAACTAAACTTGTCCTAGTCTTGCATGTGGAAAGCCTCCATGGGACAAATCAAGAAACCTGTAGTACAAACTTTTAAAATCGGGGCTTTCACTCTGCATGGCCTTTTTGTTGTACATACAAGGATCATGGTATTCAAAAGTTTAATCCAAAAGATCAAGTATATTCCTCATGATGATCAGACCTTTTGAATGATGCTAAGTACATCTAGAATATCTTCCCTGTATATTTAATCACCAATGAAATGATTGAATACACTAAATTCTTCTCTCATCCATGAGTATTTTCACGCTACTAAATGCACAGCTTTCTTCTAATTTAGCAATGATATTCAAGCTTCTGAACAAGGTCAACCATATTCAGATTAAATATTCTAACCCAAAGCATGACACATAGAATACCAACTACCAGAATCTATCATACAAATTTAATCCATGATACAATTTATTATTATTATCATTTATTTTATTTTTTGCAAACTTATATATAGAAATAAACATGAATACTATTTTCCTCACCCCCCAACTAACATTAAACATTATCCTCAATGTATTTTAATAAACAAAATAATACAATGAAAATATGTAAGGGAGTAATGAAATTAAAACCAAGCTGCTCGAAAATTGAACTTTATGTCAATCTCTTCATAATTTCATATTTTGTAAGGTCAATTTATTTGAAATGAGACAAGAGTTTAAATAAAACAAAGATCTATAAGAGTACAAAGAGAAATTAAAACTAATGAAATTCTGGTGGGTTATCTCCAAACAAGTGCTTAATTTATAGTCTTTAGCCAAACTAAACTCCCTCATGCAGCATTAAATCTAATGCTTTCATAGAAGGCAAAGCTATATTTTCAAGGTACGGTTTTAATATCTGCCCATTAACATTAAAGGTTTGACTAGTGCTAGTATCTGCAATTGTTACCACAATAATCATAAAGGTATGATCAGTGCTAGTCTAGGCCATTCCATATAGATTTCAATTTTTCTAGAAAAAAATTCAGTCTAGAGTTATATAGCGAGACTTTTTGATTAGGAGAAAATTTTCTTCTATAAATATTTTTATCATGAAAAGCCTTAAGTCTAACTTTATAGATCCTAAAATTCTTGTAAGTGATCAAACCTTAGTCCTTGCAGTTAAAGTCATCAAATCTAAAATTTATAATATGAACTCAATTTGGTTTAACTATTAGGAAATAGTAGAATCTGAGTCAAACACAAGGAAGACGTTCACATCACTGTGGTTAAATCATTTCAGCATAATTTTAATTTATTCATGCAAACTCTCAGCCTATAGGAGGATCTCACAAAGCTGAGCTGAGCACTACCTCACTTCATGTAGTCTTGTGACCTAGTAGCACCTCAAATGCAAAATTGATTGACATGGAAGACTGAAATGTTCGCTGAGCCAATAGTTGCTCTTCTTTATGAGCTGATTGTGATAACAAAAGAGATCATGTGATTCATTGAAAAGGTAAATACAAAAATTGCATTCAATCAAAAAAATTAATCTCCCAAAGTTCTTTCTAGCTACAACTTCTATTGATTGAAAATAAACTCCCTCTTAATCTAATGCCCATAGGGGGGATAATGCCATGTGCAGATTGAAAGCTCGATGGACCTTGGTATGCTGTGCTAGGCAAGGATGCTCTTCACAGCTTGGCTACTCCAGGGCTTCCCATATGAAGACCTCAAGTGACGTTCGACTTGATGTCACTAGCACTATCACTCGCTAGTGAAAGAGTAAAAAGATGAAGGAGGTCAGTCAAGGTTGTAGATGACGTCAAAAGGGGGAAAGGATGAAGTAGTCAGCTTAGGATGAAAATTGTGTTTAGGGTTTGAAGGGGAAGGAAATCAAAGGTACTTGATAATTATAAATTAGTAGTTACATCTATGCATTAATATCTTATATACATATGCTAATTAATAGATAGAGAATGTAATTATACATGTGTTACTAACTCATTATCATGTTGGAGAGACTACAACATTAATAGACATTAACTTTGAGTACAGAGATGATAGCTGCCAAGGTGAAGTTTGTTGGTAGTGTCAGCCCATCATAACTAACCCATTTGAGAGACGTGCAATAAACCTCCTCCTGTCTTACTCATTTAGGAGACGTGTGAGAAACCTTATCATGTCTAACTTGCTCAAGAGACATGTGAGGAGCAAGGGGCGGTGATTTGGTTGTCACCTCATCCCATCTAACTCATTCAGGGGTCATGTAGGGAGAGAGATGGTTGTCATCTCATCTCTTTTGACCTATTTAGGGATCATGTAGGGAGAGAGGGAGCAGGAAAGGAGGAAGGTTGAAACCATTACTTTCAAGATGTGTGAACTCACCCGCACATAGATCAAGATGCCTCATTGTAAGAGGATAGTTACCTTTTCCTATTTTCTATAAATAGGACATGTATATTCCTTTTTTTTTAGTACAACAGACAACAAGATTTGATGTGCACTTATTGTTGTATTTAAATGTCTATTATCTAATATTATTTATAACTAAGATTTAATTAAATATTAATATAGAAGTAAGTCTCAGGTCAAATACAAGAAGATTGATTAATTTGTCCTAAAAACCAGTTTAGTTTATATAGGAAGAGAAGTGGAGAAAGGAAGGAGAAAAAGAAAGAGAAGTGAGAGCTCTCACGAAATAAAGAGGAGATCTCTCTCAAAAGAGAGAAAGAGAGAGGAGGAGAGAAACCTCATGTGAGACGAAGAGAGGGAAACATCTTATGAGAGAAAGGGAGAGAGAGGGAGAGAAAGAGAGATCAATTGATGGAAAGAAAGAAAAAGAGATCGAGAGAGATAATAGACATTTAAATAGACATTTGACTACAAAAATTAATACAAAATAAGTTGAACACAATCTTAGCTTGATCTCATACGAGTTTTAGAAGATTCAGAAAATGAACAAAGATTATTCATCAAGTTTTGAATTAATTCTACTCATTTCTATCAAAATAGAAATGAAATAGAAAGAACTTGTTGTAAAATAGAAATAAATGATATAAATAAGTATATAAATATTGAAAATAAGAAATAAATTATTCCTCAAGTTTAGTGTACCTCTTGTGCAACTAGAGACACTAGTGTGGCGGCTTGGTTTCATTTGGACATGTCACACCATGTTAGAAGTTATAGAAGTATTGTCTAGAAGTGTCACACCAGTGACCAAAGAGATCCAAAAAAGAGGGATCAACCACATTGTCCTTGTCATCTGGGGGGAGAAGGAAAGAGCTGACCACTCGCTAAAGGCCTTGAGTGTAGTTGGAGGAGGAAGGAACGAGCTTGTCGATTACTAGAGGTGTTAATTGCGTAAAATAAGAGAAGAAATAGATTGTCATCGAGATTTTAAAGATAATTGATTATAGTTATTTTACTAGATAATAATTAATTATTATCTTTATATCCCTAAAGGT